AAACCTTAGCCCAAGCCCCACACTTGAAAAACACTAATACAGCAAATACCGGATGGACGTAAGATACGATATATTGAAACTGTGAGATCAAGAGGAACAACCTTGAGAGCCAATAAATCAGCATTGTGACGAGTGACTATCAATCCAGTCAGATCTGTTCTTATCTCAACCCCTCGTGCCCCACGTTGGGCGCCAAAAAGAACTGTTGTGGTTTAAACCCAGTCAGGTAACTTGTTCACTCACTCCCTGTGAGTGGTGCCAAGCTGACAACAACCGAGGTCCGTCCGTCCCCCCCCCTCCGCTGGGGTTCTCCCCTTCCCCACTCCCGGAGGAACAGGGAGGAGGATCGAAAGAGTGCAACTCCTACGGGTTGAGACAAGAACAGTCCAGCAACCAATGTACAACACAAATCACCATCGCTACCACCAACTACAACAATGATAAGGGAAAATAACAAGGGAAGAGAATACGATACCACCGGCCAAGAAAATGAGTTCCACCCGGAAGCCCGTGTCCTTCCGGGTAACTCCCAGTTACCCCCCACCCCGGGCATAACGTGCTGTGGTATGGAATACCTCCCTGGCTAGCCTGGGTCAGGCGCCCCATCCCTGCTTCCTCACGGCTTCCCCTCCTCCCTGGCAGAGCATGAGCCTCACAAAGTCCTTGGTCAGGGTAAACATCACTTAGCAACAACCGAAAACATTGGCTTCACCAACACTGTTCTCAGACTGGAAGTCAAAACACAGCACTGCACCAGCTACCCCAAAGGAAAAAACATGACTGCTACTGCTGAACCCAGGACACCTATCAAATAATTTTCTTCTGCATAATTATTGTAATTAATAAAATGAACACTACAGTACCATTTTTGTACTCGATGAAGAAAACCAAATAACTTTCTTTTAGGAATGACCATAAAAATTGTTTCTTATGAAACACACTTGTTTGACGGCAGTATGTGATGACAAGCTCCAGTGTTCATTATAAAACACAGCTGAGGTATTTGTGCCTTTTCAGAAGCAAAAGCTTTAATTAGTTGCCAAGAACCTGAAGAATAACGCACACTAAAAAATATTTTTTCATGACACTAAATACTGTAATTGAAAGAACTGGCAAAATTTTAAACGTCAGTAATACTTTCATGTGAATTGTCAAAGCGTTGCTTGTTTTGCCTGATTTTTTTAATCCAATTAAGTTGTTTTACAGTAATGAATACACAAATGGACAATTAATGGTGTAGATGGTAATATTTTTTAGCATTATAGATTATTTATAGCTCTCATTGGCTTCAGTCTCCTGAATGCAAACTCATTATCTGAAGATAACACAGTTGTACAGTCCACATGCACCACTTGAACACTGGGTCTGACGCTTGGAAATTTTTCCTCATATACTATACACAAAATGTTCATCTCTGGCTTTTCAATTCTCCTGCTCCACACATGCCATTGTGTGACTCAAGGTGATGTGACAGGTTGATGACCAGTGATTAATCAAATAATTGCTAGCATAAAGCTACAAAGTGTGGGGATAAACTTGTGTCTTTGAGCTAAATAGGTACCAAATGCTGTTTGTAACCAAAGCACTGAAGTAAAACAAGACTAACACACTCAAAATTGGTCCACTTACTGAATAGAGGTTCGTGCAGTATGAACATTTACTAAATAGATTCCTGATGTTTGCAGGCCCTGCCTGGAAAGAAGTACAGGAAGAGTCCTGTAATCTCTCATCATTCAGGAGATGCTTTGCCTACTGAAGCACTCGCCTTAGGTCATAAGGCAGAAGGCAGCAGATTGATGAACAAACTGCAAGCATTCAGAGGTTCTGGAGCCAGACCAGCTAAGGCTGCTCAGGCATATGTAAGTCATTCTTATCTGCTCAAGCCTGTGGAAAATGGAATCAGTATACACCAAAGTGAAGCATTCCCCAAAGGGGTTTCTGACTGGCACTCTGTTAGGTAGAGTCTGTGTAAAATGCCTGCCTGTACTCCTGAAAAATGGCTGCTAGCACAGGCAAATTTTCATTCCAGCTTGACACCTTGTTTACATCATCTATCAAGAAATTGGTGAAGTGAGGTAGACGACTTATCAATAAGTGAATCTTTTAAGTCTGTCACTCTTAGCAAAGCAAAAGCCATTTGGTTGATTACATGGTATACAGTGACGGAGCAGTATTCTCTCACATATATGTTTAACACTCCAGGAAAGGGAATGTTGCATACACTGTAGACAAACTGAAGCTTCAGGGCTTTGGGAGGCAGGAATTGCTCCTCTGAAGACCACTACCTAGTAACCTATCCAAGGGAGACTTCCAAATCCTGAGAAATAATTTGTTGTGATAGTTTTTGTTGGCAGCCTTGACACCTAAGAGGAATGATCAGCCTCTTATAAAAAAAAAGCTACTCTGTCAAGTGAACAGGCTGAATTCAGAGCTGCAGAAATTGGATGCAAGAAATGGCAGCTAGATCTTCCTAGCAATGTGAAACTTACTCAACATGAACACCTTGTGAACTGACTGAAGAATGTGTGCATGGACATACGAAAACCAGCAAACCAGGTGAGAAGAGAGGAACCTCCCTTGACCCACTAATGCAGGATGCTGTTGGCTTGCTTTGTTACTAGGGCACTTTGCTGACTCATGGTCAACTAGTATATCAGAACTAGCAAGTCTGTGCAGCTGCTTTCTAGCCAGTCAAATCTGCCTCCAGATGGAATTTCTGTTACTGATCCTTTGCTCTTTTTGAGCCTGCCCTTCAGCCAGTTTACAGCTCACCTCATTGTGCACTTACCTGGCCAGTACTTAATCAATTTGTCATGGGAGGCAGTGTTGAAACCTTACTAAAGTTGAGTAAATAACATCCAGTGCTCTCCCCTCATCTGTCAGTGCAGTCATCTCATTGTGGAAGGCTATAGAGTTGGTTAAGTACAATTTCCCCTTCAGAAATCCATTGTGAGCACTTCCAACCTCTTCCTTGTCCTTAATGTGTTTGGAAACAGATTTCAGGACAATCTGTTTCTTCAGCTTCCAACAGATCAAAGTGAGGCTAACCATCCTGTAGTTTGTCAGATCTTTCTTTTTGCCCTTCCTGAAAGTAGTCTTCTACTCCTCAGGAACCTCTCCCTTGATCTTTCAGAGATTATCAGGATTGACCTTGCTATGACATCAGATAGCTTCCTCAGCACTCATATGACTCCTATCAGATCCCAAGGACTCATACATATCCAGTTGGTTTGAATGTTCCCTAATCTGATCCTTCTCCACCAAGTATAAATCTTCCTTGCTCCAGACATTCTCCTACATGCCTAAGAGGAAAGGGATTCCTGAAGGTCAGACTTATAAACAAAGACTGAGCCAAAAAAAAGCACTGAGTTTCTTAGTCTTTTCTGGATGCTTTGTCACCAGAACACCTGCCCCTTTCATCAGCAAGCTCACATTTTCCCTTCTTCCTTTTGCTGCTGACATATTTTGACTCATTTTGCCTTTGTTTTTTCTCTGCCTGTCTCCTGCCAGCTTAATATCCAGGTGGACTTTGGCTTTCCCCATATCTGTGTATTTGGATATTTTCTCTATATTCCTCCCAGGTCACCCAGCCATGCTTTTACCTCTCACATGCTTCCTTTTAATGTTTAAGTTTTGTCAGGAATATTCTGTTCATCCATGCAGGCTTCCTGCCACTTGATTTCCTACACATTGGAATGGACCATTCTTGGGCTTGGAGGAGGTGATCCTTGAAAATCAGTTGAGGGTTGTAGAAAATCATGAAAATCATTCTTCCATAGAACTGCTTATCCCTGGCTTGCACATGGCTTCCTTGTCTCCTCTGGACAGGAGAGCAGTGACCCATTTCAGAACAAAAGCATTTCTGAAAAAGGCTGAGGCCAGCAGTTGGAAAGCAGAAAAGCAGGAAACAAATCCAATAGTCATGAATTATTCAGGACCCAAGCTTTAAATGAAACAGTATTCCATAATGGTAGATAACAAGACAGTCGTCAGAATGCCAGAGATATCAAGGAATAAAAGAGGAAAATCAGACTTATTACTCCCAAGTACACACTCGCTTTCACCATTCTGGTAGGCAAATTGTGCTTGTTTTCATAAAGATGCCTTGCTTTCATCTGTACTCTATAGTCAAAAAAGACTTCGAGATCAAAAATCTGTTTGGTGTCCTTTCTGTGCTTACATCAATCAAGAGGGGCAAAGATGCACCTCAAAACTTTGATTCTAGCTGTCCTCAACCTAAGAAACACACAGTGATCCAGAGCTTTAAAATTTTTTATGTTCTGTTCAGTATTTGCCTTGAGGTACAATTTTTTAAAATAGACATGGCAGCTACTTCACAAATATTGTCGGTTTTAAATGGAAGCATGGTTCTCAAATGCTAACTGCCTTAGGCAGCGATCAAGTTGCTGTGCCCCAGTAGAACCATCATTCAGCTGAACTATCATCCTCTGTGCTTTTAACCCATGTCACTTTTGGACCTCATTTCCTCTTCCAGCATGATGCACTTTAACTTTCAAAGGTTCTTTGACAATGATTCTTCACACATCCTGAAGGTGGTCTTACCTGTTAGTGTTTTCATAGCATGATACTGAAGGCCTATGCTGTGTACCCAGGAGTACACCATGAAGATGTGTGAGGGTACAAGGCTTAAAAATATACGGAGTTGTTAGACAGAAGAATGGGTCTTATGTGCTTCTGTCCAAAACATCTATAAACAGTCTGATTTAGTCACCAAGCCTTGTAGTGGAACTGATCTAGTTGATTGCAAAGTAATTCTGGCAGCAACCCAATACGTATGCTGTGTTGGCAATGTAATTACATTTTGTATCTTTTTTTTCATGTGAACAAGCAAGCTATCAAATCCCTCTGGTTAGGCATGAGGATGTCACATTTTCTATTTGTGCATTACACAGAATATTATAGTAATTTTTCACGAAGTATGAATCTACCAGTCACAGAGTGTAAACAGATGATAAAATGATTAAAGGGGTGACTCTCACCTTGTGCAGGTACCACCATTGTGACATGGATGATAATCACATATTGGAACATTGCAATTCTCAACATTCCTCCCTCCAAGAGCCTCATCTATGATGAATAACTCTTTGTTGTTAACTTGAAAATCCCTAATGCATCCTTTATAGCCTTGTATCTGTCCAGCACATTGATGAACCTCTTCATGAGCAGGAACATTTCCAAGGAAGATTGATCCAAAGGTGATCTGCAGAAACAAGAAAAAAATTATCAGAAAGGAATATTATTTGAAATATTACTGTAAGCAACTAGTGAACAATAATTAGAGATAAAGGAAATTGCCATTACTTGAAGCTTGTCAAAAACTATCAAACTTGCTGAAAGGATTATTTTTTCAAATGTGGTTTTGTGGTTTTCTTAAAAAAAAAGAAATAATAAAAAAAAGCCATACAAAAGAGTGGTTTATTGCATTTACATATCTTCAAATGTGTAAGACAACATGCACATGAATTAGAATTTCCAGCCTTAATCATAATAAACATGGTAAGGATTTCTCATTGCTTCCCTCATTCTGTTCTATGAATTTTACATTCATGCTTGAGTCTTGGTGCAGGAACACAGGAGAAGATTTAGCCCTAAAGACAAAGTTTTTCTTCAGGATCTGGATCCTATAGGACCCCAAGAAAAGGGGAATACAGAAAAAAAAATTTTTTTTTGATGAATGACATAAATCAGACCACTATACTGAAGCCCAGGGGGAAAGGGAAAGTTTTAGGTAGTAAATTCTACAGGCACAAATGTCTAGAACTTCATTACGAAGGTGCCAAAAAAACACCCACAAGTGTTTCATACTGGGACTGACTAAATCATATTTGTGTTCAGAGTGATATTTCCTGTGTTACCTGACATAGAAGTCAAACCCTTCACCATCACATATAAAGGATCTGTGACTTATTTAGCACTGAATTCTACTCCTCAAGCTGATGCCTGATTTTTTGGAGTTTTGACATGAGGTTTCACCATTCCTAGGTTCCTTTGCTAAATGCCTGTCATGAAGAATTGAAAAAAATTTTTTGTTTTTTTTCCACAAGTGTATCACATTGTGGTGCATCTATTTGTACAATACCATTAATTCAGACGAAAGGTGAAACCTAGTGTCCTGGGTTCCGCAGTAGCAGTCATGTTTTTCCTTTGTGTTAACTGGTACAGTGCTGTGTTTTGACTTCCAGTTTGAGAACAGTGTTGGTGAAGCCGATGTTCTCGAACCCTGACCAAGGACTCTGTGAGGCTCATGCTCTGCCAGGGAGGAGGGGAGGCTGTGAGGAAGCAGAGACGGGGCGCCTGACCCGGGCTAGCCGGGGAGGTATTCCATACCACAGCACGTCATGCCCGGGGTGAGGGGTAACTGGGAGTGACCCGGAAGGACAGGGGTTTCCGGGTGGAGCTCGTTTCTCTTGGCCGGTGGTATCGTATTCTCTTCCCTTGTTATTTTCCCTTATCATTGTTGTAGCTGATAGTAGCGGTGGTGATTTGATGCTGGACTGTTTTTGTCTCAACCCGTAGGAGTTGCACTCTCTCGATCCTCCTCCCCGTTCCTCCGGGAGCGGGGAAAGGGAGAGCCCCGGTGCGGGGAGGCAGGGGGGGGAGACGGACACGGACCTCGATTGTTGTCAGCTCGGCACCACTCACTGGGAGTGAGTGAACAAGCTACCTGACTGGGTTTAAACCACGACACCTAGCCAATCCAAGCCAAGTTGGATTAAGCCAGTAGTATGAAAAATGTAACACAGTATGTGCAAAGCATGTGATGAGATAATTTATAGAGAAGAGGCTCTTCACCATCATATTCATACATCAACTGCATAAAACTAGGAAAACATCACATTGTTTTTTTCTGGAATTTACACATCTGTATGATTTTGCTGTTTCCTATATTGCTTTTCTCAATCTTGGATCTATGCTGCTGACAATTGCAAGTTTGGAGATACAATGAACATGAACATCACCAGACATTCCTTTACTTACAAGGCCTTTTTTTTTGAAGAGAAAGAAAAATCGTTACTTCTTTTAGAGCATGGATAAAATTATTTCAGAGTTTTCATGTGGAAGGAATTCAAAGGTAGTGGCTCAGCATTTGTTTAATTCATTTCATATCACTTGACTTTATCCCTTTTCAAACAAAACTATAACCCATCATAGTTACAGACAAGATTTGTAAACAGTTTTTGCAGACAGGCATTTTCTCTCTGCTTGTGAACCTGCTACAAAAATTAAGCAAAGCATTGGACTGGAATATAAAATGTCTATAATTAGGAAACATAGTTTCAACTCTCTTCTTGCAATGTAATATTTTTATTATTTGGCTTATTTTATGACAGCACTGACCCTGGGGGCAGATCCAGTGCACCACAGAACAACTTCAGTAGCTGTCCTGGGTTCAGCAGTAGCAGTCAATTTTTCTCCTTGGTAGCTGGTGCAGCGCTGTGTTTTGACTTTCAGCCTGGGAACAGTGCTGATAATATCGATGTTTTCGGTTGTTGCTAAGTGATGTTTACCCTGACCAAAGAGTTTGTGAGGCTCATGCTCTGCCAGGGAGGAGGGGAAGCTGAGAGGAAGCAGAGACAGGACACCTGACCCAAGCTAGCCAAAGAGGTATTCCATACCACAGCATGTCATGGCCGGGGTGGGGGGTAACTGGGAGTTACCCAGAAGGACACGGGGTCTTCTGGGTCAGAGTCGTTTCTTGGCGAGTGGTATTGTATTCTCTTCCCTTGTTATTTTCTCTTATCGTTGTCGTTGGTGGTGGCGGTGGTGATTTGTGTTGTACATTGGTTGCTGGACTGTTCTTGTCTCAACCCATAGAAGTTGCACTCTTTTGATTCTCCTCCTCATCCCTCCGGAAGCGGGGAAGGGGAGAGCTCCCGGGGCGGGGGGGCTCGATTGCTGTCAGCCCAGCACCACTCAGTGGGAGTGAGTGAACAAGCTGTCTGGCTAGGGTTTAAACCACGACAACTTCAAACCCCCATTTTGTGATATGAAATGTGGACACACTCTCCCAGCCAAAAAGAAGAAACAGAGAAGAGTTGTGGACTTTCTTAGGAGCCAAGGAAATTTCCTGATTAGGATATGAAATATTCTGATGTATGATCTTGGTGCATGACATCAAAGGTAGCTACATGTAAGTTTTTCTACTAGTAAGGTATTTATGGCTTATCTATGTAATTAGGTACTGATGGGTAAGTTCTTTCCCCATATTTTCTATACAGAAGCTGCCAATAGTGTTAGCTTTACGTTCTGCCAGAGTTAATTACCCTGAAACACAAAGTGAGAGACAAAGCAACCTTCTGCATCAGAACATCAGGCTGATCATCTGGAGTCTAGGAAAAGACAACTGATTGGTCTAACAGCAATTCTAATACAAGTTAATTCTTTATCTCAGACTGAACAAACACCTAGATACTGACTCAGGAAGAAAGAGGGAAGAAATTCCATTACTAACTAGCAGTGCAATACAGTGAGATGCACATCATGAGTGGCAACTCTCCAGCTAACTGGCCTGACTTCTAGTGAACAAATTTCCAAAATGAACTGCCAATCACAGTTCAAATTCTCAAGTCTGAAAACATTTTAAATGCATCATGCAGAAAAAACCTTGTGATGAGAGAATGCATAACAAAAAGAAGTTATGACATGGAGACAAAAAATAACAGAAAAACTCTAATTTGGGAAAGCTGGCATATTGCCCATTTATAATGTCTTCTGATTCCAGTTTCAAAATGGGGACAGCGATGAACTTTAGGCAGTTAAAATAGGATTTTCAAAATCAGTTAAATGAAATAAGTTAAAAGGAAATACTGTGGATACTTGATGTGAAAAGATACTAAAGAGAACTTAAGTTCTATGATGCTATGACATATGATGTTATCTGATGAGGAATTATATTTCTTCCATTAGAAAAAGTTAGAATACTTATTCTCCTTTGAGAATAAAAAGTTCAGATGTTGATGAAATGTTCAAAGCAAATTAACTGTTTTTTGATATTTTGCAGACTCACCTGAGTTTTTTGATATAAAAGAGAAAGTCTGTGTTGTACAGGAGGATTTCCATCTACAGCCATTTCAATCATACAGTAGCCTTCAGGACTGCTCACAGGCAACATATAACTGGAAGGAAATGGAAGGTATCATTACTACTTACACTATTGACAGCAGAGTGTCCAAACCTCACACAGCAAAAGCAAGGTGAAAAAGATGTTTCTGCCTCTGTAAAGAATGACAATCTTTGGACACTAATAATTCCAGTTTCATGCCTGCTTGGACTACCCAGGAGACAAAATATGCAAGTTTCTTCTATCATCCCTCTTTTATTTGCTTTCCTACTGATTTTGACTTGGGTGTTTGAAATGTACACAAAGAAGAAAGAAATCTTTACATATGTAAGTGGGTATTGATAAATTTTAAGTGCTAACTGTGGCTGACATATGGTCCCACTGGTATAGAGAATGTTGGATGAGTAACATCAACGCTGAATGATGCTGAACTCCCTCAATGGAAATTTCCTTTTCCTGCCCTACAGGGGAAACAGAAATAGAATAAGAAATGAAAGGCTGCATGCCTCTGAGCAGCAAGATTATGCTGTGATACAGTTATCGCTACTTGGGAAGCATGTTGTTAATGAAAACTGGTACTGAGCTTCAGAGATAAAGATGAATATAAGGTTAAGAGAATTTGTAAATACTAGAGAGCATTCAATGAAACACTGAGAATTCTTCAGGTTCTTCCTATGTTGAGATCCTAAAAAAATGCAATTTATAGTATCAGCAATAAAAATTCAATTCAACAAGATGATTTTCAAATATACTGGGTTTGTATTTAGAAAGGAAACTTACATAAATGTTATCACAACGATGGCAGAATAAGAGAATAGTAGTGAATAGATTCTTTTAAACTGAGCTTTGCTAGTTCTGAAGACTGCTTCCCAGTTCCATTTTGCCTCAGTTTTATTTTTCACAACCTTTATAACAGAATGCGACGGACCTCCTATTAGGAGGTGTGCTGAGGTTTACTGACTACATGCACTTTGTACATGAAATCCTATTCAATCAAATCCATACATTTTGGTTTCCAGAGTAAGGCTTTTAATAAGAACAATGTTAAATTCTTGTGTAGCATTTCACAAATGCTACACAAAAGATTTTACAAGAGATTCTGAAAAAAAACCAAGTCATATATATATACTGACAAATTTTCTTTTTTTTTTTTTTTTTAATTTGGACAAATAGTAAAGGAGAATTGAAGGAAACTCATAAACTATTTTGTGTTGGGGTAGACTAAGTTTTATGTTAGGCCATAGATGTATGAAAGAGCTAACATTTTTTAAAACCCATTATGTCCTGAACACTAGAAGCATAGATTACTGTTCCTAAAAATGACCTCAGCACAGCCAAGCACAAATTTGTCTTTGAATAATCCTGAATAAACAGCAAGACCTACCATGCTCTCAAATGCCTCCCCTTTCATACACCACACCTTGCTGGTTGTGCACAGCTGCTGTTGTATGATTTATCCCATATAATGCCCTGAGCTTTGTTTTTCTACTCTTGTGTCTATGATCTTACTGTTTCATTCGCTTTCTGTAGATTCAGTATGAAATTTAGTCTCAGTTTGCACCTCCGAAGTTAGTGGGAACATTGTATTGACATAAATGGATATACTATTGGTCTCCTAATGAATATTTACAGCATTCACTGCAGTGCAGTGATTTCTGAGAAAGTCTTATTTGCAGTATATCTGTGTCAGCAGGTGATGCACCCATATTAATAAATCCTACCTTTCCAATGGTTATATTGCTTCTGGTTCCAGAGTAAATTCAGTCAATATTAATTCATTGACTTTTCACTGTGCTCTGCTGCACGGAGTTGAAATGTGCTAAGTTATTTCACCTTTGTGAATATGCAACACTTTTCCTATTTTTGAGCCAGGAAAAGCAATGTTTTTAATTTTGTTTTTAAAGACCGAGCTATTTCAATGGCATATTCTACTATCACTTTTTGAAATGTGATCTAGACCCCTAGATTTTCAAATATGTTTGAAAAATATTATTTTTTCTTTCTTATTTAAGTTAAAAAAAAAAGAAAGGTCATGTTGTTTTAAGTATATTTTAAGTTCCTTCTCGTGTAGTCTAAAATTAGCATAGCATTCTGCTTTTGAGTGTAAGGAACAAGAAGCAATGTGTGCTGTTCTGAGGATCACCTAATTTTCACAATTCCATTATAAAATGTGAACTGATTAAACAGAAGTTCCTCCTTAAAAATAATGGGTAGAAGGGAAAATAGTTTTGTGATTGCAATTTAGATACTTGGAATAAGGACAATTTTGGAGGAAGTACTTTCAGCTACTGTGGTTTCCAACCAATTCTTGATATATAATATATACTTCAAATTTTATTTATTATTCCTACTTGTATTTCATCTGCTGGGAATTGTCCAGGTAAATCACAGTGTATAAACTTTCTCACTTGAAAGAAAATCAGCTCATTTAGGACTTGCAGGGGAAATATAACTCATAACCTTTCCTTGATGCTATCTACTCTGAGTGGATACTTTAGTATAGACTTAACATACTCCTGGCAAAGCCTAACCTCTGCCTTGTCCCAGCATTTTAGTAAGGTTTCTGAAGTCTGTATCTGCTGCAATTTCTAAATCAGTTTATGGTTTAACCCTTATATTACATAACAGTCCAGCCCACTAAGAACATACGTTCAAGTGATGCAGAAAAGTTAGTAGAGAAAAATGTTATCTAATGGAAAAGAAAAGAACAATATGGTCTGTGCCAGTTTGATCATATTCAAGGAATTATCCATTCAAGCCAAATTCAGCATTGTAAACTTTCACTACAAATGGCTGGCATTCAGACAGTTTCATTGTCTTATACACATAATTTCTCATTTTAATTCTGTGCTAGTGAAAAAAAAAAAAAGAAAGTGGAAGATTAAAAATAGGTACAATCAAAATAAGCCTTAAATATACTTCAGGCTGACATGGTTTTTACTGCAGTATGTTTATGTAGACAAGCCAAGTACCCTAAATTCATATAGATAATAACACAGTCACCCCTACACAGGCATACCTGGTGATCCATTCTACCTTTAAATGTGTCAGAAAAAAAAGAAAAAAAAAATTACCAAAGATCCCCAGTCCCTATAAACAGCAGCTATTACCCAATGATTATGATCATTAGGTCTCAACTTCACAAAGGGAATAAAGCCTTTCTTTTATTTTTAAGATATGGCAATGGAATCTCAAACAAAAGAACTGATTTGTTTGATGTCAACAAGTAGATTATAGTGACTAAGTTGTGAGGAAAAAACCCCACAGGCTGTAAGCAGCAATGCACTGCCCTGGATATGGAGTGCACATTTGGAATGCTACCTACTTTCTTTAGCATTTGTGCCTTTCTGTGCAAGGATTTCCAAGCAAGTAATACCAGGAATTCCTCTCTGTCTTGTGTCAGAAAGGAAAAAATGTCATTTGAAATGTGAACAGAATGAATATTTTTCATGCTTACAGTACCACAAAATTAGGACTGTTTGAATTTGCTAGATTACTTGAATATGTTTAGAATGGCTTTTAGAAAGAGGCAGAGCATGGAAAATTACAGCCCAAAAAGACAGTTTTCTGAGAAAATTATGAAAATAATGAAAAATGGCAATTAAACCAGAAATGCTTTCTCTATCTTTAGTATAGCATTTAAACCCACAAAGTGCTACAGTATAGACATATGCAAGACATAATTATGATAGCTTCTTTAAAAAATAACAGAAAAAAGAATGTACTTGAAATATTCTGTGACAGAAATGACCTGAACTAAAATACAGCTTCATGTAGCTCTATAACTAATCTAAACTAAGATTAAATTTGTCTTTATCTTGCAACTGGATAAATGCTGTTGTATTATTTCATGCATCTCATAGAAGATTGAAATCCATTATCCACATTAGAAAAGAGAAAATGGAACTAATGATTTATTCTCTTGACATTTTTTCTTTATTTTTCTAATTAACCTTATATTATGAGATGCTGACCTCACATTAAGAACACCTGAGATGAAACTGGCTAATCACTGACATCTTTAAATTTTGAAGTATTTTTAGTTCAGTTGTACTTTTTCACTCATTTAGATGCTGAAGGCATTTCAGTCCATCTGCCTCACATCTCGGTGGTGTATTTCAGTTGCATTCAAAGCCAGTGTATTTTTCCGACCAGAGACAGCGACAGGAGAGAATGTAATGTGATTCCTACTGCACGATTATTTTGTCAGGCAACAAAATAGTGAATCATGCACATCATACACATAATGATATAAAAAGGATTTACAGGCCAGTAGAGAACTGAGTGTGTGGGGAGTAGTTATAGGAAATTAGTGTGGGGTGGGGATCTAATGGACTGTTAGGCACAATAATCTAAATAGGTCTAGAGCCATGTGGAGCTAAACCTGTTCCTGTAATGTACAGGCCTGATGTACGGTTTGTTTCCACAATTTGAAATAAGAAGAGGTTCAGCCTTCCTTTCTATGCTTGCCTTAGAATAACTTGATTTTTTTCATAGCTGCTGTGGATTTTATATAAAGTAGTTAAGAACAAGAATTAACAAAGCGTTTTTTTTACAGGGGCTGTTTAGAATCATAGAATCATAGAATCGTTAGGGTTGGAAGGGACCTTAAGATCATCTAGTTCCAACCCCCCTGCCGTGGGCAGGGACACCTTACGCCAAATCATATCACCCAAGGCCTCGTCCAACCTGGCCTTGAACACTGCCAGGGATGGAGCATTCACAACTACCCTGGGCAACCTATTCCAGTGCCTCACCACCCTAACAGGAAAGAATTTCCTTCTTATATCCAACCTAAACTTCCCCTGTTTAAGTTTGAACCCGTTACCCCTTGTCCTATCAATACAGTCTGTAATGAAGAGACCCTGCCCAGCATCCCTATTGGCCCCCTTCAGATACTGGAAGGCTGCTATGAGGTCTCCACGCAGCCTTCTCTTCTCCAGGCTGAACAGCCCCATCTTCCTCAGCCTGTCTTCATACAGGAGGTGCTCCAGTCCCTGATCATCCTCGTGGTCCTTCTCTGGACTTGTTACAACAGTTCCATGTCCCTTTTGT